AACAATTTATTGTTAAGTTCAGTTGCTCTAAAGGGTATTCAAATAATCAGTTCATTTAATCACTACTTTTTCACTGCAACATTTGGTTCACCAAGCAGAAATACCAATTTGCATGTTATAAACTTACGTAGACAAGTTCTTAGCCCGCATGTTTTTTGACAAGAATTCTTCGCTTTCTCATCGAGGCAAATCACCGCTACCAGCGCTGTGCAAACTGCATCGTCAAGTGTGTTTGGGCAGATGCCACCTGCTCCTGGTCGGTCACAAAGCCCGCATCTCATTGGGCACCTCATTAATGCTATAGTACTGAGAGATGCATTCCTGCACATTTCCAGTGTAAAAGCATCACAGTGATTGCCTGCGAATGGATCTATAATAAATAGCATTTTTTTTTCTTTTTATGGCGTAAAATATTAATAAAAATTTATAATCATAAAGGCATTCAATTATTCAAATTCAAAAAATTTTTCACCGTTAGCACAGTTGAATTGCTTTGCTTTACAGCAGAATGCACAATGACTTGGACAATTCTTTTCTGCAAAATCTTTGAGGGCAGGTTGTGTACATGCGTCGGGTATCAGGTAAGATGCGGCTCTAAATAATCAAAAAACTATGAAATATTAATAAGGTAAATTATTTCTTATATATTGTAAGAGTTATTTTTCATGAATAAAAAATGAATTAGGATAGGATTGGAATATATGAAAAATACGGATTCCTACGGATTGAAGTGTGTTGCGATCGTATCACCAGCACGGTCGGGAGGATTGTATGGAAATATAGCAGTACAAGCGGGTGAATCGATTTTTGCACAACGACTTGGATCGACAGTTGGTCGCTGACGACCTCCTACTTCCCTATTGCAGTTTTCTATCTCCTTGTCGCCACTTTTCACGCCATGGATGAGAAAAACGAAGAAACAAAAATACAACAACATTTCGGGAAAAATATTTTACAATGAAATATTAACGTACCGGGTATGCTTTTTTATGAAAGGTGCTTTGATAAAAATACCTTTCCACAATGTTTGCCAGTAAGAATATTTGTTCATCTGCTGCGATCCGATTCGTACCGATACTTAAAAGTCTTTTCCATTACTTATGAACTATTTTTCAATTTAATTTCAAAATTTATAATATTTAAAATTTTATCATAGAAGGCCATTTTTACCGTTTTCTTATCAGTTTCGGAGTTTTATTTAATACTTTTTATATTTAGAAACAATATCCAAATATCACAAATAATTTAAAAATTTTTTTAAAACATTAACGGTATATAAAACTTCTGCGAATTAGATTTTGTGGGTTCCATTTTAAATTCAAATATTTTTTTCAACTGTGCTCATAAATAAAACAAAAATGAGATGTTTGTAGGACAAAAATATTCTTAAATATTTCGAGGAAAAG